TGGCGACTGTTTATGCCCCAGCTTGATTATGTTTCACTGTTCTAATATAGTTAAATGATGATAAATGGGCTCTAATTGTGAATTTTACACTTTGCAGGAGTGAGTGACATGTACGAGGACTTACGACTGTAATTGGAGCTAAATTGAAGCAAGAAAAGCCCCTAGGAGCTGAGTACGTGGGAAGACGAGAGAAAGAAGAGATGAAATGGAGACCTGGACTAGTGCGTCCACTAGCGCGACCGCGCTAGCCCAGATAGTCGAGGCAGAATGATAGGGCATATGCGCGGTCACTAGCGCGTCCACTAGCGCGACCGCGCTAGCCCAGTTCCGGAAAATTAAATTTCAGGGGTAAATTCGGAAGTTCGGGGGTAATCCACTTAACCTATAGAAGGTCCGGTTCGCCCAAGGGATGATTATCAAGGTTTTCAAGGTTTATTTTTAGACTACGGAGGAGGAAGAACAAGTGTGTGAAGATCTACAAAACATTAGAGTTTTTTCTAACTCCTTTTACTTCTTGCAATAAAACATTATGAACAACTTTGTAGTTTTATCTTATTTTGTTATGAGTAGTTAAACAATTATCTAGGGTTGATGCAACCAATTGTATGTTAGTATGCGTGAGGTTTTCAGGTTCTTGGTTTCAAAAGTTCTATCATTAGAGAATGATAACTCTGTTGTGGTATTATTTGAAGATACATAATATTTCATTGATATTACCAAATATTGATTTGCAGTGTACTCAATGAGCCGACTTTGAAGAAGTTTGATCTCCTAAATAGACAATTGATAATTACAGGGATAACTAGTGCAGACATTCTGAAGGTCTGTCCTCCCGTAACCAGAGGATACATCTGTCTTTGGTGGTTATTTTTCAGTTCAATATTTGTCATGTTACTCCTGGAGATTTAACATGTTTTTATCTTCACTCCAGGGTGTTGTTACCTTGATATTTGACAAGGCTGTACAAGAACCAACATATTGCGTGATGTATGCCCAACTGTTTTCTGATCTCAATGCAAAGCTGCCACCATTTCCTTCTGATGAACCTGGTGGCAAAGAGATTACATTCAAGCGTGTTCTATTGAATAATTGTCAGGATGCATTTGAAGGTGCTGCCAATCTGCGAGAAGAGGCGAGGCAAATGACATCCCCGGAGCAGGAGTCAGAACGACAGAACAAAGAAAGGTTGATAAAATTGCGGACTCTTGGTAATATACGGATTATCGGAGAGCTTGTGAAGCAAAAGATGGTCACTGAAAAGATTGCTCATCACATCGTTCAGGTTGTTAATATCTTGCCTTTTGTTCAGGTCTATTTGTTTCCTTGCTGATTGCTGTCTTTAATACCTTGAACTGTACCAATTGTTGTCTTTGCTGGTTTTGTTCAACAGGAACTATTAGGACAAGATCCCAAAAGTTGTCCGGAAGAAGAGAATGTTGAAGCCATTTGCCAGTTCTTCAACACCATCGGCAAACAGCTTGATGAGAAACAAACGTCAAGGCGCATCAACGATCTGTACTTTCACCGGTTGAAGGAACTATCTACAAACCCTCAGTTGGTTCCACGTTTAAGGTGTATGGTTCTTGATGTGCTGGATTTACGTTCCAATTACTGGATGCCTAGACTGGAAGAGGTGACACATCATTCTATCTTATATTTGTTTCCTGTTCATGTTATAGAATTATCTCACTTAATGTAATATTTTCTCTTTTTTGCACAGGGGAAACCAAAAACCATCACAGAGATTCACACAGAAGCGAAGACCTTCGGGTTGCGTTCTGGTGCCACTGGAAGCATGAGAAATTCACGTGGTCCTCTGGGTCGTCCTCAAGGCGGCTATCGCCGAGGAACTGGTGGTATGACGCCTGGAATGCCGGGAGTTAGGAAGATGCCGGGTATGCCTGGGATGGATAATGACAACTGGGAGGTTCCTAGATAACGGTCGATGCCGAGAGGTAATGGACCAATGGTGTAGCCTGGTGGACGTGGTGCACCTCCTGCTCGCCCATTGGGCTATGGTTTTAATTTGGCTCCTGGAAAGTAGTGTGTTCATAGAAAGATTTTGCCTTTTGTGATTGGGTAATTGTCTTCCATAATTGCTCTAGGCAAAGAAGCCCTCATTTTGTATTCCATTAGTTCTTTATTTATTTTTCCCTTTTGACTAGTTAAATTAAAAGTTTTGTCAAACTTGTGAGTTCATACTGCAATCTGCAACTGCTTAGGCCTTTATATACCAATTTTGAAGGAAGATTCGAATTCGTGTCTGTCATGTGTTGTTGCTTATATTTTTTGTACATTGCTATGCTCATTGTGTGTCTCCAGTTTAGCGCTGGCAATTTTTATGTGCATTGGTAATGTAAACACTATTCTGCGGTATTGATGCAATTTAAGTAGCTATGGAGGGTTAAGACTATTTTTTAGGTTATCAGGCTCCGGCTATTATACTACTCTCCCCAAAGAAATGCAGAACGCTTGACAAAAGGAGAACTTATTGACAAATGAAAAAAAACATGGAAGTAATTTAAATTTTAGTAATGATCTCAGATGTAACAAAAAAAAAAAAAAGAACTTAGTGGGATTCCATCTAGGCAGGGTAGTATGTATGTAGATCTTACCCCTGCTCTGGTAAGGTAACGAGGTTGTTTCCTATAGGTCTCGAATCAAGAAATATTAACAACAAAGACCAGAAAGATAATAATAAGCAATCTAAGAACAAAAAAAGTAGGTGGAAGGAAGCAATAGCAACAAGTAGTAACAACAATAATATACTAGGAAATAGGAACGGAAGATAGTAGAAAAACAACATGTAATACTAGCAATCTAAGCACAAGACACTACCAGACTAATCCTAAACCCCCGACACTGAACATAAAACGCTCGACTACCTACAAATCTTTTGTCCTAATTTTCGACCTCCACACTCTCCTATCAAAGGCCATGTCCTTGGTAATAAGCGCAGATTGATGAAGAAATGTTCCTCTCTAATTGGAGATACTACAGTAGTTCTATGCATGTCTAAAAAATGCACCTTTGTATTTACTAAGAACATCCTAAAATTGCTGTCTCAATTCACCCTTTCAGGGTCGATTAATGGTTTAATGACAAAATTAAGCAAGCATACAAGAGGAATGTACATAGGGGTGTCAATAGAAACAACAGTGGGTTGTGAGTTCGAGTCACCCCAAGAGCAAGGTGGGAAATTCTTGGAGGGAGGGAACCCGAGGGTCTATCAGAAACAACCTTTCCACCCCAGAATAGGTGTAAGGTCTGCGTACATCCTACCCTCCCAGACCCTACAGGTGGGATTATACTGGGTTGTTGTTGTTGTACATAGGGGTGTCAATGTGGATTTAAAAACCGATCGTACCGTGCCGAACCGATTTTTAGTTTTTTTTTTAAATAAAACCGTAGGTTTTTATATAAATCTAAAACCATACCGAGAATTAGGATATGTTTTTTATTTTATAAAAATAAACCAAAAAAAATACCGAACCTTATAGAATAAATTTACATGTGAAAAATATATTTACATATTAAGTTTAAAAAGAATACTATTTTAAAATTTTCCTTGGGCATTAGAATTATGAAAACGATTACAAGCCAACGAGTAATTAAACTCAAAGTCCTAATTCCCAAACCTATAATGCTGAAGCTAAATTATTTCCAGCATATTCACTAGCAAGACACAAGATATTCTAACGATTAGTAGCAAACTACATTGTATTAAATATGTTTACTTTCGTATAATTTAGATTTATCTTTTTGAATATTTAATCTTCTATAGACTTTATTCTTGAGTTTCCAGTTTGGTCAATATCTTTTCACTCGTGTGATTTATATTTTCTTTGTCTTTGTTTAGTTTCTTTTGTGCTGTTGTAGAATAGTTGATGGATCTACAATCTTACCATCTTTCATATTATCTTAATTCATCACCCTTTAAACAATAAAAATGTCTAGAGAGTTTGTTAAGTCCTATAAAAATATGTATGCTTGTGCTAGTGATTTTCACATGACATTTAACAAAAATATCGAAAATTAACCGAACCATACCGATACCGAAGAGAAACCGACATGATTGGGACGATTTCGAAAAGTCTAATTTTGATTATACATAATAGACTGATTGAAAAATTGATATGATACAAATTTTCGAAAATAACCGTTCGAACCGAGCTATTGAAACCCCTATGTACACACGCTCCCTTGAATTACTTCAAAGTTATTAAGTTAAATGCATCCTATAAAATGTTTTCTGCCCGAAGGTACCGTCTAGGGGTTTACCTGAAAATTTTCCAAAAAAAAAAAAAAAAAAAAAAAAAATATATAATATATATATATATATATATTATATATTTATTATATATAATATATATATATATATATATATAATATATATATATATATATATATATATATATATATATATATATATATATATTATATATATAATGCCGTAGTGTCCGGCCCAGCGTGCGTGCATCTTGATTAATTCCACAAGACACATGTTACCTTTCACCAACAATAAATACTAGGTAATTCCGTCCATCAAGACTCTCATGATTTTCAGTCACTACGTTGACCACTATGCCACACCCAATCAATTTCATATTATAGTGCAAGACTGTTCATTGCTAACAATGAATGACTTATACAGTCAATAATAATATATGAATTGTTATCGATGAATAACAAGGTATTGTTTAAATAAAGTGTATTTTTTTATCTTTGTATTATTCCACATCTATCTAGCATGCATAAAACAATGCATAGATTTATGCATAACTTAATATAAGTTGAGTATTGTTAATATTTGATAATCAAATATTGCATTAAATATTTAAGAATTATTTATTCCAACTAAAAGCTTCATTAGTTTCACAAAATTAATTTTTCAATCCATTTAACTAAACATTGTTTTATTTTATGCTTGATTTAAGTTTTTTCTCTATTAATAAAAGGGAGTATAAAGCTCCAAAGGTTCCATTTAATAACAAGTTTACTCCCGCCATTTCCCACAGTGCGAGAAAGAGAAATGGAGATTGTGAGAGACCAACCGAAGAGCTCCTCACATGAATCCCTAAAATTGGCGATCGCAATGGCGCTCGTCCGATCAAAGCTCCTCCAAAAACCTCCGGCACCACCACCGCAGCCGCCGCCTTCTTCCTCCGCTGCCGTTCCTCAACCTGCCGCCGTTCCTCCTCCTTACTCCGATGATGCTCTTAAATGGAAACGAAAAGTTCGATCAATTTCCTTGCCTTTTTCGTTCTTCTACTTTCACTTATCTCGTAAAAGTTGCATGTGACGAATTTGAATTTGAATTAATTGTAAAATTTTGAATTATTTTTCTTAGGCAAAAGAGCGTAAATTAGAAATTCTCAGACTCAAGGAAGACCTCAAAGTTGCCGAAGGTTAGCCTTTTCATTTCCTTAATATTTTAGACTAAAAAATTTAGCTTACTTGTCATGTTAATGTTTATAATGAAAATTTGACGACTGCGGCAATTTTCCTGAGGATCTGTTATGTGTTCGATTTAGATTATCAAATGTCGATCTAGCTTCTAATTATCTGATTATTTTGCTATATTCCGACCTCAATTTTTTTACTTAATTATGGTTTTCGTTTTTAAACCAATATTGCAATGATAATAATAGTTTTCTGAGGATATTCTTGCTAAATGTTTTGATTTCAATTTAGCAATCCGTTGTCCGTATTAGTTAATTCATTTTGAACGGCTTATTTTTTCGTTATTCGGTCTCAGAATTTTGTGACTTAATTATTTGTTTCGGTTTTAAATCAAAATTGCAATGACGACAAGAGTTTCTCTGAGTTTTGTTTTGACTTAGCAATGTGTTGTCCGTATAGATAGATTCGTTTTGAATGGCAATTTTTTTTTCCTTATATTTCTCTTTTTTTTTCAAGTAAGATGGCTCGCAGTGTGATATATTTCCGAAAAGTGCATCATGCAAATGTTATTTCTTTGATAAGTTGGGGTTATTGAGCCCTAAGAGAATTGGAGATGGTTCTGACCGACGTTTCAGTGAAGTGCTGCGGAGAAGATTTCTCAGACAAGGTTCATTTTTAGGATTTCTGTTGTATTTGTTGGTTTAAAGTTGTCAATTTGGGTTCATTAATGCTGTATACATTAGCTGGATTTAATGAATTGTATGATTTTCTCAGTGAGGATTAAGGAGAGAAAGAGGAGAAGAACAGATGATTCCTTGCTTCATCGAATTTCAGGTGAAAATCATTTAGGGATGTTCTCATGGATGTAAACAATTGTCTTCACTTTTGATGGTTAACTTGCAAAGTCATGACTTTTTGAAAGTTACTTTGAGTTGAGATATATCATACCTCAGTCATGCTGTGATGTATCTCATTTCTTACTTATGCCATAATTTGATCTCTGTAAAATTGGCAAATTTTGCTGAAGATGAATTTTCTGCTGTAGATAGATGTATGAATTTTGTGTCTTTTCTTAAATGGCAGAACGTGACAATGAAAATAATGTTGACCAACTGAGCGCTTCAGTTGATTTTCTTGTGGAGCTTTGTGATAGTGTTTCTCCTCAAAGTGTATGTGGTTTCAATTAACTTGCTTTTAGCTAATGATACTTTGTCTTGTGTAAAATATTATTTCCATGTCTCATCTCACCTTGCTTTTATATCTAATGTGTTGCAGTTGGAGAAGGGTAACTTTAAGAACTGGTGCCACCAAGCCGTGGACTTTATTCTCGGTAATGTCTTAATCCTTTCCGTTTCCTTTTGCCTTTCTCTGTGGAATTTCTCCATGGGCTCATCTGGAAATTTTAAACTTGAGTTCCTGATATATATATAAATTTTTTTAATACACAGGTGATTACTTTTTCTTTTTTTTAATTTTAAATTTCACAGATTTACTGCTATTTTCTATTTTTTTAATGTTAAGGAATGTAGTAGAAGCTGAAATCAAGGGGTTAATTACTGAATATACTATCTGTTCTGAAACTTAAATGTAAAAAAATGAGTGCTACTGAAGGTTCTCCTAAGATTTGAGTTTTAAAGGAAAGATTGTTGTGAAAGACTGCATTTTGGGAACTATCTTCATGGTTTGTACAGCATTTTATATGAAGTGTTCTAGTCTTTACTCAAAAATGCAAAAGGTTAATAATATTTCTTCTTTGTCAACACCTTATATGCAAGTAATGAACGGTTTCACTGCATAGAATGCCTAAATTTCTGAGCTTTCAGTTTTAATGATAAGCTAGCGCCAGATGGGTTCATCAATTACGATCTAGTCCTCTTTCTTTAATGACTTTCAGATTCAGCAGTATTTGTATTTTACTACTTTAAAGGTACACTTGCTACAATGTCACCAACTGAAAGGAATGCAGAACCCGTAGAAGGCATTATTAACAGCTTAATCATGCGTTTATTGAGAAGAATGTTCTGTCCTTTGGAAGGAGATGGTAATTATGTGATCTTGTTTTTTATTCGTACTAGTTTTCTTAAGACTATCTTCACCTTTTAGCAGATTGAGAAAGTATATTTTCACCTACATTTGGTAATGTTGGAATCAGCATCTTCAATTCATTACACTGCTTATATGTTGTACTCTGAAAGCTTGTCAATCCTTGCCTGCATGCAAGCCGTAGAAGTAGAAGTATCTCCTTAATTTTAGATTGAGGAAAAGAAAATATATTCTTGATGCAAATGCAGACCTAATAGACTTCATTTCTATGGACTTCCATGAGGTGTAATATCTACAATATTTGAGTACAGAAGGTTATGTGTTAGAGCATGCAGACTTGAAATTTAAACATTCTCAGCAGAAAATATTTCAGAATCTTAATGTGCTAGAGCTATGAAAGAACTAGTAAATTTTTTACCATAAATTTTCTGAGTGTCCATACTTGGGAAATGACACCATCAAGTTCTTAACTGAGCTCCGAGACCATTTCAGTCATGATACTGAGAATTGGCAGAGTGCAGGTTCTTTGGTTTGATACGTATTTAATTGAAACAAATCAGTTTTCATATAATTATTGATTTTTGGTTTATTATACTCTGATCTTCCCATTTTATGCTACACCACTGGATTAGGTTTGAGTTTAAGATGTTAAGTTGACTTACAAATTATAAATAGTCGGAATAAATATTAAAGCAGTGGCCAAACTGTTAAACTAATTTGAATTCTTAAACTTTATGAAAGTTGTGTAACAGATACTACTGGTAGAAAGGTGTAGAAAGTTTTTGGACATTTATAAAGTATCGTAAATTCGAATGGAGGGGAGTAATATTTGCGATTAAATTATCTGCTTGGTAATTGGTATAGAAATACACCTTGATTTTTTTTGTTCCTGTAGAAACTAAAAAATGATTGTTCTCACACAACAGAGATTATGTAAAACGCTTCTAATTATTTTGGACGGATGCTGAACAATATTTCTGAACAATTTAGTTATCTTTGAAGGAACCAACTTTTGTGAAGATGATTTCGAAAAGCTTCATTGGATCTAATTCATATTAGTTCAAAGTAGCATGTATCATATCGAATAGTTAGAAGCAAAGACCACTGAAATCAAAAGAGGGGCAGGCCATAATGAATAGTTAGAAGCAAAGACCATTCAAATCAAAAGAGGGACAGACCCTTATGGCCCTGATATCATCGAACTGATTGTTAGTTTAGTTGGATCATGAGTCTGAAGTTCAGAGCAAATTAAAGTGATTTTTGTCCCTCTTGGACAGCAGAATTATTAATATTAAATTCCTCAATGTAAATTACTTATTTTTCCTTCGGCAAAGCTTCTTAACTCTTGATTCCATAATGATATGTTTCAGAATCTCATCACTTTGACACTGCTGTTCAGTTCTATATTCAACATTTGATGCGTAAGGTCGGAAATGAGGCTTTTGTCGGTCAGCGTCTAATATTTGCGGTCTCTCAAAGAATTTCTGTAGTGGCAGAGAGTTTGCTTTTCATGGATCCATTTGATGACACCTTTTCAAGTATGCATAACTCTATGTACATGATGTAAGTGCCACCAGCTTGTATATTGTCTATGAACTAATCTTTATCTGACTTAATTCTTTTAATTATGCTTCTGTTTTGTTTTAAATTTCTTATGCATATTAGGGGGCCGTAGAAGGGGAAGGGAGAAGGGGGGGGGGGGGGACAGTGGGAGTCAAACCCACCCATGTTGTGCGGGAGATTCCCACTGGTAGCTCTAGCCTCTAAGCTGTAAGCCTGGATCGTATGCTACTTGTTTGTTAATGCAGTCTTCCTTTACTTGTTGATATTTGTTTCTTTGTTGGTGATAGACATACATTAATTTGGACCTTGCTCTTGACTAAACTTCTTTTCCACTATCTTCGATTTCACATTTTCCTCTCTGGTTTGATATCTTATCATGTGTTTTTTGTTTGTTTTTATTTCTGTTTTCAGTTTGGAGGTTTGAAAGGAACAGTGTATTTTTTACATCTGTTTTGGACCAGTAATCCATCCAGACTTCCCGATTTGAAAGAGATGTGAATTTTAAAACACTCCGTATTTAGGCTGAGGAGTTGGAATTTGTTCTTTTGGATGTGGATTTTCAAAGGGACAACATTTAATTCGAGTTGGTTATTTCATTCCTTCTTTTGTCAGTTCAGCTAATATAAAGTTTAAATTGGTTAAATTTGTATGTGGTATAATCATCTTTTTCATTTTTTCTAGCATCCTCTAGTGGAGTGATTGCTACTATATTCTTAATGTCATCTTGACAATCTTATTTATTGTAAATGGTGGTTTTAGTGCAGGATTACTTGGTACGTGTTTTTTTTTTTTTTTGGTGTATAGTTATCATTACTTAAAACACTGTCATGATTAAGTGATCAGACGTGCCTGGGATCCCAGTCATGTCATTCTCTCCTAATTATAGAAGCAGTGCCTGCTTCAGATTCAAAATTAGATGTTTTTTTTTTTAAAAAGATACATGAACGAAGTACTGCATCCTGCCCAGTCATGCAAAATCATTTACTCACTCAATATGGAGATATACATGCACCTCAAGATTTATCATCGGAATTATGTCTAAGCTTCATATTTAGAACAAAAGCTTGGGCTCGCTAGACTTAGTTGGTAACAAGGGCTGTCAAAATGATGTAGCATACAATTTACTATTTGTTATTTGTTTTTACTGCTGCCAAACTTCGGGTTCTTTTTGTTTTTGAGTTATTTTTATTTTTTGAAATTTTCATGAATCTTCCTGAAACTGTGACAATAAAAGGAGAAAATTTAGTTAAAATGCATAGCTTTCATCGTTTCTAAAATAGTTTTTGCATGTTATATGTTCTCAATTGCAGGATTCAGCTTATTGAATTTCTGGTTTCTGATTATTTGCTAACCTGGTCAAACGCTGGAGATTTTGACATAAGTGAGCTTCTTTTAATCACTTAGATACAATAATGCATTTGCACTGTTCATAACCTATTTTCCCTCCTTCCCTCGGGTCCAAGGCAGTTCTACCACTGACCGAGGGAAATTCAAACTGATAGGCTCTCGGTCCTAAACATATTGCATGTCACATGCCCACAAAGATAATTAGTAGGAAATGACCTATCTGGTGAAGTATATTTTCCATACTGTTATGATGAATGGACCTAAAATATCCATATGTTGTATTTACTCTGTAGGGCTCTTTGAAGAATGGGTTGTATCAATTCTCCACGGAAGAAAAGCATTGGAACTACTGGAGAACAGGAATTCTCTTTATGTACTGTACATAGATCGTGTGATCGGCGTTGTGGCCAAGCAAGTGGGGCAGTTGTCATTTCTGCAGAAGCTAAACCCACAGATTCTTGAGAACTTGTTTAGCTAAGCACTGACCTGCAGCTTTTCCTTTTGAATTGTAAGTAACTTGCTTTCAACACAATTCTTCTTTTCTTGTGGATAGAAATTTCAGTTGTTTCATCGCAAATGCTTTTCTACTTAAAATTCAAGAATTCTCATCAATTAATTCGCTGAACATCAAAGATAATCCTTTTCAACAAAATGCTAAATGCTTAGGAACTTAATTTCACCTTGTAAGTCGACCTCAATGTTCTCCATACTTGTACTGAACTTCATGATGACAGCACTTATTTACGATTTTATAATTGTCATTTGTTCCACATGTTTTTCCATACACTCTCTCTCTCTCTCTCTCTCTCTCTCCTGCCTTTCCTGGTTAGAGAAACATAGTTATTTAAAGTGAAAGATGCTCTTTAAATGTGAAAAGATGAAATAGTATGTAGAGAGGAATCTATCTCTTGGACAAAATCCACATGACATAACACAGCATCATGTGCCGAAAGCCAGAGCAAAATCCGACATATCTTTATACTGAACCTGATTCCAGGTTGAAATATATCCCACAGCAAAATCAGTCGGTGCAAGCAAATCTTTGACTTCCCTTGGCATCACTAATTTTCATTAACTTTAAATTGCTCAATTTAATGGTAATCCTCAACATACCAAGTAATTGAGATCTTGCATAAAGGAGGTTGTTGGACCGTTTGACTTTTGGCTCTTTGTAGTTTAATCTAGATATGTTCTTTTCTCATTTATATAATTTTCTTGGTGAAATAGGGGGTGGGAATCTGATTAGTTTACTTATATACCAAGAATTCCCAGTCAAGTACAGCCTATTGTCTTTCCCAACTTTAGAGTTGTCTCCTGTCCCCACCTTATTTATCTTTCTAACTACATTTTGAAGAGTTATTATATTACATAGTCCTTAAATTTTGTTCTCCTTTTATTATGGTTTACTCATACCAAAAAGTTCATTATATTCGAAAGATGCAAAAAAAGGTGTATGTATTGTATACACTTCTGCTTTTTGCTCGATATATAGTGTCCTTCCTAACTTCCACCTAGCATAGTACTTCACTTCTCATCTGTCATATTTTCTACTACATTGTACATCATCTCTCTATCTAAATCGTGCTTAATAGACATGATTAAAGCCAAATTTATACTGGTTATCTCATTATTCGCAACTCTCTTACTGTCCCAATACAACAAAACCTCAGCTTCTAATGACATTTTTCCATCCACTTCCATTCCTGCAAACCAAACTCTGATGCTGGAGAAGGGGCAACCATGTTGCCCTAAAACTCAAGATATTAACGTCCAGCTTAAGAGGAGATCACGATTTGTTCCAGCTACGGCTGTTCCAAATATGGGTGCTCGTTCAAGATCAAGATCATCATCCGTTATTGGAAAACAAATATCTTCATTTCAAGTGTATTCACCTCTGTTTTATCTCCTTTCACTTAGTTTTTTCTTGTTCTAGCAGTCTTGCCAGAGCAGAAATACGGTGAAGGCCTACTTGCCCGGACAACCCAATAAAAGAAAAAAAAATAGAAACAAAAAGAAAAGGCAGTTGATGTTATCTTATTAGGATAATATAACGTTGAGTTCTTTTTTCTTTTGAACTTTTCTACTACTGTATCTTCGGCATTGAGCTTGAATGGATTGTTCAACGATCCTTCTTTTTGCTTTAGGATAAAGTATGGCTTTATATTCAAGGCATCAAAGGAGCTGTTGCTTTTTACGTGTAAGTTGTAATACTTGGTGCAACTTTTTCTCTTGTATTAGCAAAGCAGCCCTTGCATTGCCTCTGTTTTTAGGCAAATGCTAGTAAATAATACTAGGTGTATTGGTTTCAAAATTTGAAACATATCTTTTTTCAATTTTGGCACACAGACTAAGTTCTTTGGTCCATGTTTTTAACTCTTTGACCGAAGTGGATCCAAGGAGTAGCAAAAAGAACCGCATCAGAACCTATGTCGCTCAGACTTTTGGAAAATGTTGCCGGGTGCGTGCCAAATTTTCCAAAATTAGTGCATTTTTGGAGGATCTGTCACGGGTGCAATAACATTTTGGAGAACTATATATCAGCATTCCATTAAGTGATGTTAAAATAAATAAATCACGAGCTTGATTATAAGTCCAGCCATTTCCAGTTAAATTAAAGGTCATAAACCATAGTTTGGCATCTTGTTCTGTTAATTTTTAAAGGAAACCAATTTTGAGATCTATCATCCTCTGTTATGTAAATCATTTTCAACCGAATATCAACATATTCTTTTCGATGAATTGACTAATTGTGAATTGATTGTGGAGACAATTGCTCATCTGGACAATTAAAATTTATCTATAATCAACATCAAACATGATGCAAAAACTACTACTTTCGGCAACGATAATGCATCCTTATTTTGAGATGTTACTCGTAGTGTAATTACACTGAGTCACGTGAAGCGAAATCGAGATAACCACAGTTGAAGGTTGGCTGTAATTGAGACACGTTTTCCGGATGGACGATATGGATATTTTTCGAGATAGTTAACTACTTTTTTAACTGTGAGGGGGTGGATGTAATTCAGGTCGAACAAAGTGAGAGGGAGGTCATTCAGAACCCGCTGACTGATTATCATAAGAGATTCCCAACATATCATATGATTCTCGTTCTTGAAAATCCACACTTTTCCAGACCCAGAAAACAGACGGAATTTTAGGCATACCTTCTCTGCTATAAAGGCACATAATTTAAGCGATGATAAAATTGAACGCGGGGTTGATTATTATTGATTACTGGAATATCAATGGTGTATTGATCACGCCCAACTATGCCTTATAAAAAGGACTAAGCGGTCGCTGCAAATATAATCCGGTTTACAAGTCCGGAGTCGAATCCCACAGAGAACTAAGGTTTAGCTACAACTGTTCACTATCACCAAGAAGACAAGCTTGAACAATTCCTAACTTATAGATATTAAGATTCTTGTGTTTAACTACTTAACTAACAAATTAAAATAGTAAATTAACAACTAACGATATTGAGGGTTAGAGAAAAGATTAAGGAGGTCTAGAGTTATGATTTCCCCTATTGTCGGAATCCTTCCCGCTATGTCTTCTATAATTTTGCCTAAGTATTATCTACCGATCATGAGCACTCTTATTACCGTAAATCTCTCCCGAGTAATTACGACAATTTACTAGACGCACTCTCCCGAGCTACGCTAGCTGGCTTTTAATACAGCTCACTTCAGATCGCACCCAAGGCTTCGTTATCCCTAATCCCACCTTTAAACCCTCGGTTATTGATCCCTCATATACTCTGGGAGTGGTGTTGTTCAACAATTACCTAAATATGCACTCTTTCTCGAGTTATGCATACTAAATAGGCACAGCTAATTGAGAGCTCTTCAATCAACCAGAATATAAACGTAGTTGAACAAATAGAGAAAAGCTATGGTTCAATTATATAAAAACATAACAAGAATTTATCCTACAAAAGGTTCTATCAAACTCTAGATAACAAATTAGCTATTCATAATAGTATGTAAAACTACAATACTAAAAGTCATAACCAACAATGAAAAATAGGAAGAGGAAGGAAAAACTAGTAGAAGAATTCTCCGCCTTGCTCCCAATGTGTTCTTGCCTCCAAGGGTGTTGTCTAACCCTAAAGTAGTGTCTCTCCGCCTCCTTAGGTCTAATTTGTGTCCAAAATATGTCCTCCTCCTGTTCTTGGCCGGCCTCCTTTGTTTAATATAGGGTTTAGGACTTAAATCCCATGTTTTGCACTTTAGTCCCTGAAATTTTCGCTTCCTGCCGCGGTTTTGCCGCGGTCGCGGTGGAACCGCGGCCAAACATGCCCTCTGATTCTTCAGTTGTCCGCGACCATCTTCTACCGCGGTTCTGCCGCGGTCGCGGCAAAATTGCAGTCGCGGCAAAACCGCAATTTTTCATCCTGTTCCGTTTGGAATTTGGAAAAACGTAAAACATGAAAGTTGTAGCCCTTTGAGTTAGCTTTCCAACCATATATTGTGGAGCTCAAATGGAGTTCTGAGCAAAAAGTTATGTCTATTTTACTAGACAGTGCGCAATATGCCTCCTCAAGTCTTCGTTCGTACTTAATTATCAAATTTGACCTCCGAACACGATCCCGGCTTAATTCCTTGAGCTTTTACTCAGACTTCAAAGCTTCAAATCACTTAAATTCATTCCATAACATCTATATAGCTCGGAATCACACCTACAAGGCATAAAACACACCGTTAGTGCAAAACACTAGCGATTAAAGCGCAAACTCAACTAAAGTGCAGTAAATTAGAGTGTAATAATCGACTAAAATACGCAATTATAGCCTATCATCAACACCCCACACTTACACCATTGCTCGTCCTCGAGCAATCAAACTACACTTTTTTTATAGACACGACCTTTTTAAACAATTCTCCGAACTCATCACACCAAGAGTATTTAAAATAGACTAAGCACAAAAGCGTAATATCTTCACCTCAAAATTTGACTCACAAGTACCACACGTTATTCACAACTCACCCACTTACTCTAATATAGAGGTCACTGACATTACCTTTCCTTCATGAATCAAGTGCCCTCACACAACACAAGAGAGTAGTTCCACACAATAAAATTTAAGAACACTTAGGAACTCAAGATAGAAAGAATTCACTCACTCTCAGAAATAACATTCATATGCCACAAAAGATGCACCATAAGCTTGCCCGTAGTGTACTACTCCACTAATCGAGCTCATTCAATCTTGGATCAATTAGGACTTTATTTGGTTGTAATGCAGGCTAGACGGGTAGGATACATTTAGATATAAGAGTGACTACACCTCCCTAAGCACTTTAATACATATACTTTAACATTCAAACCCCATACTTATGTCAAACCAAACTCCACCTTCACATCAATGTAAATTACCCCATTCTTCTTTAAGCACACTTACGTCAAGAGCCACCACTTATCAAAATTTTTTTTTTCCACAACAATCCAACTATTTTGTTTTCAATTCAAGTGGCTCTTCCTTTTTCAAAACAGTGCACCTTTCTCCTTATTTCATTAGTTCCACTCAAAAGCCAAACCAACCACCCCACACTTTAACTTTTACAAAGTTCATAAATAATTCAAGTGCTCATGAGAGGTTACAATGATTGAAATAGATGGTTAATTCGAACAAATGGGTAAGGCTTGTAATGTGGTTGCCAAAGAAACAGGATTACAGGCTCAAAGGGGTTAACTACGATACATAATAATTAGGCGGGTAAAATATACCTATCTGGCTCAACAAAGAAATGCCTATATCACTTCCTAGACTGAATAAAACTACTATTTCGCTTTGCAAACACACGGGGCAAGTTCTAGGCATCAAATGCAATGCACAGAATATCACAAAACCTCACACACACATGGCACATAACTCACTCAGGATTGGATTCATCAAGACACTCTAGTCAAAGCAGTTAAGCAAAGTTAAAATCATACAATTTAAGGTACTTCTACAAGAGTCAAAAATTGAGCCTAAGCGTCACAACCAAAGTACTCACTATTCTCAAGGCATAACAAAGTCAAGAGATTGTTGCTTCAATTCAAAACTCAACACAATGGCTCCTATTCCTAAAAAAAACTTAACTACACCCGGTTCAAACAAAACCCCTTGGAAAACGAACCGCGGCACAAGAAAAACTCAAGGGGAATTATACACTACCTAACAAACGAAAATCTTTTTTTTTAAGACTTTAAATCCCTACAACGAAATTAGT